GAAGCTGAATTGAGAACTAGGTATTTAAAACTACACCCAAGCCTAAGCTGCATGAAGACAGGTAATTGCAGATTAATATTCCACTGTAATACTAATGCACAAGAGTGCCGAGTTAAAGTTGCCATGGGAAACAAGCCTGAATTTCTTCACTTTTCAGCAATTCACAATCATCCTTAATAAAGGTTTTGGCAGGTGATTTCTAATGCACTGAGCTTAATAGCCACACAAAAAACATGCACGAAGAAAGCTGCTACACGGGGATGTCTAGATAGAATACGCACGGCCACAGCTCTGTTAGCCGCCTCTGGGTAGGACTGTGACAATCTCCGTTACTGTGTGAGCCACCTTCTGCATTTCCATCCTGGCGTTCAGCTAGGATTGCCTTGATAAAGGCTCCACAGAACACAACTTAAAAGCACGCAGAAGATACTTCGCAGCCTGCTTCCCAGCAGTCCCTCTATAACCTCCTCCCCGCAGCAGGTTTGTGATTTCGGGGCATATTCCTCCTGGAAAGTCCTCTGAGCCTAGGCTACGGCTCCCAAGTAAGCTTGTCTGTCTCCTATCTGCTCATCTTGAGCAGAGAACTCGTCAGGGACTGCTCATCTGTAGCTACAGCCTAAATTTGGTGGAAATCAACATCTATTCCCATTACAAGGTCAGTCTATAAATCACAGCATCTCGGGAGCAGAGACACCTCATTCAGTTGGCCCTGCCATGGGAACGAGACCACAGGTAGAGCAGTCCGGGCAGTGGAGAAGCAGAGATCATTGCAGCCACTCCAGCTGCACCTGTCTGTGACTGCCAGCCAGAACCACAAGACAGATGTTCAGGGGAAAACACCTTTAATGCTCTTTTGCACCAGCGCTCAAGGAAACACAGCCTGAACCAAATTTAACCTTGTCGTGCATTTGTACTTAACACTATCTTATAGAAAGACCGGCTCCCGTTTGTTAACACGCTTTCACCCATCAGGAAATGTGCTATGATCACCCAGATTTGTTTGCACACTTAAAAATAAATTCATAACTGAACATATGCTTATTCAGAGTCTTGGTGTTTACAGTTTTATGCTGAAATGGTGAGTGATGTTGTGTATTTATTAGTATATCCAGTTTCATCTGACAACAATTATAATTAAAAATTCCCCCCAAATAACCATCAAAATCCATGCTAAACAAACTTGAAATATGCAGGATACACTAAAGAAAAACATCAAGATGTTTTTGTATTTAAAATGTGCTGTTTAAGAGAACAAGGAAAGTATTGTCTGTAAACAATTTATTCTTCCACCTCTGGTCACAACCTCCTTCAGCAACTGGAAGATCTGAACGTTTCATACCTTCCTCTTACAGAGAGTACGGAAGAGGCGAATTTCTAATTCCCAACTGATCATCAAATTTGAGCGAATCTGAGACACTGGAGTCAAGTACCTGAAAAAACTGACACGAGAAACAGCAACTTCATCATTACCAAAGCTCATTTAGCAGCTTAGCAACTCCTCGGTCCAGCTCCTTCTGCCAGACCAGGGGTGTGATACTCTTTTACACTTCCAGGTAACAGACATACAAAGCTTGAATTTTATTTGGTTTTCATTTAAGTGGCTTTAATATCTTACAGTAGAGATTAACATCCAATGTAGAAGCCTAATTTCAAATTTAACTTCGAACAGACCCAATTTCTACCTTCAGACTTTTTATGTTTAAAAGAAAAATCATTGCTTTTCATCCACTGGGCAAGACACTTGGCTTGCTGACCGAAAAAGGCACATCCACTCGCTGCATTAATAAAATCAGGTTACAGGCAGCCACGGAGCTGAGCCTGGGGAGCTCCTTAACACAGTCACTGAAAGCACTGACCACCATAAACACTGGTGTATACAAGGACAAAGGGACAAAAGAGCAAGACTCCCACTTATTAATGCATCTCCTCTTGTGTAGCTAAAGCACCATATGTACCTGGCTCTATAGGCTGACAGCATATAAAAGCAGAAGGCACTTATAAACTCTCAGCAGACAGTAAAGGAAAAAAAGTCAGAGCTGAAAAATGAAGCACACTACCACTGTCGTGGTCTGAGGTCCCACAACAACAGCTCCTACCTGACCTCACTGGGCTTTGGATCAAATTCCAAATGCACAAGGTAAGCTTTAAAGAGATGCTAGGGAACAGTCATAAACATCTCTTACTGCCAACCCCTACTGACCTTTGGCTGGCTAAAACACTACACGACACAGACTCTGCCTCTATTCTTTCAGGTTTTCCCATCTATTCATCCAGGGTAATGCAGTTAAACCCCTCCCCCACCTTTCTCTGGGATGGTCTCATTATTCATAAATATATCCAAAAAACCCCATAAAGCTAAGCTGCTGCTTTGTGCATATAAACATGCACTTTGATTTATGGGCATATCTGTTGAAAGCCATCAGAAGTCAGGACTGCAAGGATGTCACTGTTCCTCTGTGGTTTTAGGGCAGGGAGCATGAAAGACCCTCCGTGCCTGACCCAGATGTGGTAAAGCAGCCATGAGGCATTCAGCCAGAGGTCCCAGGCACTGAAGCCACAATGCAGACGGCTTCCCAGGGGAATACCGCTGTCCTTGACCCTCCTTGATCCCCATTACGGAGGCCATACCATGAGACCTTGGAGGGAGATTGGGCAATGTAAAAGGGAATGGAAATGAAGGAGTCTTCAGGGCTCTGGAATGAGCATGAAGGACTTCCCCAGGGATCATGCCAGAGAGGCTGCTGGCTGCAGAAGAGCACAAGCAAACACAGTGGGAGGGGGAGCAGACGCAGCAGTCACACACCTTAGCATATATAAAAAGATAGCTCTTTCAGTAGTTTCTGGTAAGAAATTGGAGTATTTTGAAGAGCAGTCAGTGAGAAATGTGAAGTGTGCTGCACAGTGGCAAGCGTACTCTGCAAGACTTTTAGGCTGAGCTGGCTAAGTTTACAGCTATACCTACCCACTTGAAGTAACCTGGATCATGGCTTAGCTCTGTACACAGCCCCCTCATCAAACCCCACTGCATTTGAATTTCATTGTACCTAGACTTCTACATCACAGGTATTAAAACACAAGCTGAAAAAGGATCAGGATCACAGCGAAGATCAGCACCTGACCATTCCTAGCTCCCAGGTCTGCCCTCAGACCATACCTCCAAAATCTGTCTGCCACTGCTCCAGCGAAAGATCCTGTCTCTAAAACCTTGCACAAAATACCACTGAAACATAGTTTGCTCACCATGACATGCAGCCCAGCAGTGAAGAGGACAAAAGCTGTGCTGGTCAGCAAAAAGGTGAGATGTAGGTAGAGGCATCAACTATAGTCTCATTTTATAAAGTTGACTGTTTCCAGCAGGTGCCTCCAGCCTTTCCAGCTCCACTGATTCCCATGTAGCAAGAGCTTTCTTTGTCTAACCACTTTGCTGGTGAGGACACGTGGACTGACAGGTTTTTCCACACACAATATGATGCAGACAGGCACTGAACACAGTAGACTGGAAAAACAACACTGAAGAACATCTCCACCTTAAAGGTGCTATCTCACCAACAAAATATATAGCAGATCTGCATTGGCCCAGACCATTACTTTCCCTGGCAAGGACTTGGGGACAAAGCTCCTTAAAACAGTAGTAATCATATTCCACTCATGCTCCTTTTTACTGCCAGCTGTAAACTAGCTCCACATGCATCATGGTTTTGCATCAAAATGTGCACAGACCAAACCCATATCCAAAGGGACAAGGTAGATCCAATTTACAGCTTTGACAGGTCTGTGCACCCGAGGCAGAGCGTGCAGGAAATAGCCTGACATCTCACTTGGAGGGCGGTTAAGACCCTGCTAGCAGAACTGGCTGCAGAGCCACAACAGCCTCCCACAAAGACCCAGCAAAAGAGCAGGGAATTTGCTGTCCATTTTTCAAGAAACACGAGAGGCAGGCGGCACTCACCAAGGCACTGCCGGGAAAGAGAGGAGTCAAGTTTGATCCCAACTTGCAGCGTCCCTTTGAAAGGGCAAGTCCAAGGGAAACCACAGTCGCACTGGGAAACGAACACACTGTATCGAGCCACTTCAGTAACAAGATACTACACTGAAAACTGCTTAGCCTTTGGTATATTTGAAATAAAGCAAACAGAAGTTATTCTGACCCAATGCATGTACTGGCAATACCTGTAAGAGGCCAACTGCTTGGCAGAGAAGGGTGAGAAGCTCAAGTTCAATTTAGAGACTCAGAAATTCTGTTTGTTTGTTACCAACCCAATATTAGGGGTTTTTTTTTTTTTCTTTTTAGTATGGTTTTCTAATTTAAATGGAAAACCCAGGCCCATCTTGCTGACAACTGAAAATATATTTACTAACACACTCTGCACTACTATGGAAGAACTATCTGCAGAAAAACCTCCGTACTTCATTTACATCTCTGTATGTCTCAAGTGGTAGGGCACTGGAAAATCTCTCTGAAGCTGAACTCTTCCTTTCTCATTACACTCCAGAGTTAACACCCAGGCAAGATAACTTTAGGAAGATCAGAGAGCTCCAAACTATTGCTCTTCTCTACTTAGAAACACCATCATGTTGCACATTCATATCAGTCAAACTGTTTTTTTCCTAAAACTGTTGGCTATCAATAGCCTCTTTCCTTGAAGAATCAAACAAGTTTGCCACGAGTACTGTTCTAATGCAGGTTCCCAGCCAAAAATTTTTAGGGTCTCCCCAGTTCAGGCAGATGACAAGCATACATGACTTAAAGATGTTCTCGGTAACACATGAATTGTCACTTCCTTGATGGAAATCAGGCTCCTTCATTCCATTCCCACCAAATGGTCCTGGCATTGCTCCTGAGAGAGCAGGTGTCTGGCAAGAGCCCTGAGGACCAGCAACAGAAAGGAGGTGGGACGAACCTGAGAAAACGAGTAAGCCAGCACTGTGTTTTGTCCTTCCACCTCTCAGAACAGCAGCAGCAACGTGCAAGGGGATAATTAACAGGATTGACTATTTACCTGAGGATGAATCTGTGGTTTATCACACGTAGCCTCAAAATCCAGCACTAAGAAGTAGTGATATCTCTGTGGAGGGAAGGATGACATTGCTGCCATGGAAGCTCCAAAGCCGTGGGACGCCAGTTTCCTGCTTACGATGGAGCCGTACCCTTTGAGAACACCAGCCGGGAGGAGGGAGCACACAGCTTGTCTTGCCCTTGGAAGTAAGTTTTGGGGAAACCTTGCTGCTCCAGTATGGAGGCGTGCTATCATTGAACATCCAGAGGCATCTGAAACTGAAGATAAACTCGCGTTACTCGTGCACACATACATCTCACCTCTGCCACTATCTCTTTACTGTCCTCCAACAGGGATTTTCTCTGTGCTTCCTGGTGGAGGTTCCAGCATCACAAACCTGAAATAACACAGTAACCTGCTCTAAGCACAACAGATGACATTTTGACTGAGCTCAAGGTGTCCAGAATCACAGGCAACTGGAAATTAACCTCTGCAAATGACTCTAAATTAAGAACTATGAGACACAGAACAGTCATGGCTCCAGGCACCAGATCACAGCCCCCTGATGAACCTTATCACAGCACCACACAACACAAACCACTTAAAACATAGAAAATCTGATCTAAACCCCATCAGAATTTCTGAGGAGGCCTTTCATCTTTTCGCATACAATGCAACTTCAGATACATGGTAGGAATTAAATACAGCAATACACATATCAGTGCTACAACCCATCCAAACAGCTTGGCCCTGAAAACACCCGTTAGTCACACTGAAGCCTCCCACTTCCATTACAAATCCATGTGTTTGGTGGCTGGAAGGCTCCTCCCCAGGGAAGTTCTCATTTGTTCTGTGTATGAGGTTTCTTGGAGATGTGATTCTAGTGCTACACTTGATTTCCTACTTCAGGTACTTCTCAGAGGAGGGGATCGTTCAGCAAACCCACACGTGAACTGCAGGGACTGTAAAACACAAGCAAGACTCTACAGTGTCCCTCCCAAAGAAATACTCACCCAGCCATCACCTTCTGATGCTTCTGTTAATAACAAATGTTATTAAATAGATTACATTATCTACGTGAGACTGCCTGGATTTTCCTCCCCTAACCTTTTTCTTTTAAAATGCTGCAGGAAAGTGGTTGAGTCCCCATCCCTGGATGTGTTTAAGAATAGGGTGGATGAGCTACTTGAGGATATGGTTTAATGGGGATTAGGGATGGTTGGACTCGATGATCTCTAAGGTCTTTTCCAACCTAGAAATCTATGAATCTATGAAAAACCTGACAGGACTGTCACTGCCCAAGGTAGGCCAGCCTCCCAGCTGTCCACAGATACGCATTTACTGGTTTGAGGGTTCAAACCAAACTCCTGGAGGTGTTACATAGCTGGGTACAGTGACCAATGGCAAAAAACAGGCAAATTGCAACAACCCGGTCCTCCCGACCAAGGATATGAGTACCCCCTCTAACTGTAGATCTATACACACACCTCATCACATGGACATGGAGATTTAAATCCATCCCCGCAGCTGGTCCCGCTGCTCGTGGCTCTGGGCAAGCGCTCCATCGTACCACGTGCCACCCACCCACCCGGTTTCTGAGCCTGGCCTCCCCGCGCCTGCGCTCGCTTTTCGTTCCGCCGTGATGGGCAGGGAGCACCCGCCACCGGACACGGAGCCGAAACGGGCAAGGCGAAGCGGAGGACTCGCCGCCCGTGAACAAAGTCGCTGTTTGCACAAAAGACAGCGTTTGCTCTCTCCCATCCGTTAGTCCGTCAGGTAAATAATGCACGTGCCAAAACACACACTTAATGAGGTAAATAATACGCCTTGAATAACGGCTAAATCTGTATTTACCTGCGAGACCAGAGAAACTCGGAAGGACCAGATTAGGAGATAATTGCGGCTGAGCAGGTTGTGTGCTTCGAGTAAACACGCATTTGGTAACCTTCCCTTTCCAAGGTTTTGAGTGAAAGGCAAAAATCAAAGGAGCTGAGATGTTTAAGACTGAGCCAGTGACCACACTGCCAATTCCATGGTGTAAATGTATTCCCACCTTGTGGCTTTCACGTTTTGGGGGGCTGCTGGCTTTATTAAAGCAGTGCGCCAGGCAGCACGTACCCAGAAAACTGAAAATCCAAGTTACAAAACCGTAACAAAGAGCCCAACATTGCATTTATCCTAAAGAGGCTCAGTTCTACCTATTGCTTTTCCATTTACAGCTTTTACTGTCATTAATAAATGCATTACAGCCAAATAGAAGTTAGTTATATTCACTTTCAACCTGCCCCAGATAAGAGATATTCAAGGTATACGTGCTTTAAATCTTCAAGTTACTGGCTATGAACCTAAAGGCCCATCACAGCAAATATAATATCTCAGAATAAAGCAGCTTGTAAGTTGGTTGTGGTAAAACCTGGTCTTTAGCCTACTGCATAAAGTAAAATATACAGCCAGAGTGGGGGAGGCAGGCAGGCTCCAACCCCTATATCAAACACAGGCAATAAAACACACATCATCCACCCACACACAGCAAGATCAGTACTCCTCTACTGTATCTTAACCACAAGACGAGGGCGTCAGACATGAACCCCACAAATCTTCAGGCTGTCCGGCACTGTGCACAGCAGTGCTGAGGTCCCCGAGCCACTGAGTCCACACAGCAAATGGCAGGATTCAGGCACGTCACCTCGCGGACGTGGCAGCACCGCTCCGTGTCACACGGGTACCGTGGGACATCAGCAGAAGGAAATAACAGCCAACGTCTAGTGTCTGCTTGCGCTAACAACTTCTGCACACGGTCCATGTCTGACGACAGGATCAGGCTCCCCATCCTAAAAGCAGCCTCTCTCCTTGCTCTCCCACGTAGCAGAGGGAGAAATGCTCCGAACAAAGGTGTGCAAGTGGGCTATTGCATGCCGATTCCCCTACACAGACAGCATACAAATAAGAGCAACCCCACTGCAAACTCTGCACCTTCAGCCAAATGAAGTTTTAACTGCATGTTTACCCAGCCACTGCTGTAGGTGCCCTGGGAAGACCTCACATCATCTTCTTTGGCAAGGTCAGAGTGCCTCAGAGCACAAGATAGCTGGTGAGCAAACACACTTTATTAGAAGTCATGTAAAGCATTTATAACAGCTACAACAACGCAAAGCACTAGTAATTGTCCCTTTTTTTTTTTTTTCCAACTGACAACATAAGCAACACAGCTTCAAAAATTAGAAACCCGGCTCTATCCATATAAATCCACATGTCCAGTGATTGCACTTCCAAATCTACACAAAACATCACATATATATTTCTTATGCACACAGGGTCAGATTATAATCTCAGACAGTGCAAGCTGTCACATCTGGCATTCAACCTACTAGGTTAATATTTCATATCACGCAGTTCCAATTCCTTACACCGATACGTATGAAAACGTAATGGGACCATGAACCAAGGCTGGACCTCAGGAATTATTTTGACAGATTGTACACAGACCTAGGAAAATGTGACAGCACTTTTCATTTGCAACACCCAATAACACGGGAAATGGCCATGTGTGGTGGGTTTCAGGTGGCAGAAAAAGTTCTTGTTATGTGCTGTATAACAGTGTGTGCCACACATGACATCACCCGCTATAATCGGCAACTGTCTTTTAAAAATAATTTTAAAAATGGGTATCAGCTGCAGATAACAGGACAAGCTCAGGCTGACCACAGCTCTTGCTCGTTAGTGGTCCACACACATGATAATAAAGCAGGACAGTTTGATAACCACCAAGTAAGCAAAGCCAGGAGGAAGGCAAGAGCCAGCTGTAGCCGCCGGCTTGCCCGGAGCCCCACCGAGCGAGACGCGGAGAATCTGCACCTACGGCTGTCACACTCCAGGCTTCCCACTGGGGAAGCTGCTTAGTGGCAACCACAAGCAGCAAGGAACTCCTGCCACGTGAAGGACACCGGTGACAAAAACCAGCATGGCACTGCAAGTGCCTTCCCCAACCTGTGGGACAGCCCCAAAGCCACATACAGAAATGCATGCCACGTAAGTTGCAGAGGACTCAAATTAATCAATGGAGAGACACATGAGCCTACCAACTTGAGCTTCATGGGTTCTTTGCACATAACATTAGTATTTACTTTTTACAACCGCATCTAATTAAAATCACCTGTCAGCAAGAGCTTCAACAGCTTGCCTTTAACCCAAAAATACTCCCCTTCACTGCCCAGTTTGATAAGGTGACACAGGGAAGGGGCAAGAAGACAAACATCTAAGTTCAGGTTGGAAGGGTGACCCAAAAAATTGTATGAGCGCCTCAATTTACATGTTAAATTACTTTGTTATGGCAATATGGCCCTCCACTATATTAAAAACCAAACAAACAAATAAAACCCCACATACTAATCTAAAGGATAAGACCAACTAAAATTAAAAAATAAAAGCAATCTTTGGGAGTCGTACACTTCAATTTATTCCCTGTGCAAAGCCTGGGTAGGGGCAGCTGTGACTCCTGGCCTCCGACAGACAACTGAACTCAAGGCTGGAGCAACCAAAACCAATCCAAAATGTAAGTCAGGTTTGTCTTAGTTTATTAAATCACAGTGCCTTATTTTATTAAATTATAAAGAGTAAAAAGATGGGGCAATAATTTTTGTAGAACAAAATTGCATACATTTAGCAACATCTGGAACAGAGTATAACGAAAAATGCAGGACTTGCATTTTGGTAGCTGTTCAAATGCATACTCAGAGGTCAAATATGAGCCCATATTTCAGTTGTGTGAAGATATAACTAAAGAACAATAGAGACGACTCCATTTTTTAAAAAATCAACCTTAACCTACAATCAAATATTTCATTAGACAAACTACAGTCCAAAAATGACAGCACCTGGCTAGCCCACGAGGCAGGAAACGAGAGGCTATGAACAAAACCAGCTTATCCACTGTCACTGTCCAAACTCGCAAAAAAAAAAAAAAAACCCAAACCAAAGTAAAACAAACAACAAAACACAAAGCTTTTGGAACCATTTTAATAATGTAACATGATTTTAAACAGGTAAAATCGCTTCTTTAATTTGTTAACCTCACAGTATCACCCCTTGAACATGAATCCAGTACACTTCCATCCATGGTTGCACACCCTTCACTTTGGCTGAGTTTGTCTCAGCACTGCTAGAACACCAAGTCCATGTTTTGGAAAATTCGTAACATAACTTTCCCAAAGCATTGCCACAGGATGCCTATACGCTGCCCCATCGTTACTCAGTGCAGGTACAACTTGGCATT